TACTTCGATATAGGGTTCTATAGGCCTAGGAGATAATATAAATCCCTTATCGGGAAGAGATTCTTTACTAGCTTTATCTAATACTAATATAATAGCTACTTTATAACCTTTATTTAAGATAAGAAGAAAGTAGACCTTTATTATTTTAATACCCTATTAGATAATTAGATAATTTAAGCGAAGAATATCTCCCTTACCTAGAGAGAGTACCTAATAGTAGCTAGATAACCTTATGACTTTAACTTTTATATAATCCTACTAACTCCGCAATAAAGAGCCTAAGAGTATAGCCTTTTATCTTTATTTTATCTCTTTTAGACCCTTAGAGGGTTAATAGGATTAAGTATAGATATACTTACCTAATTTTGCCCCCCTATAACCCTAGAGATTAATAGAGAAGAGAATAAACTAATAAGATTATTTAATCTATTAGTCTATAACTAAATATTAAACTCTTAGACCCGCATAGGAAAATCTAAGGATATTATATATAATAATAATATAAAAATAATTAAGGATATTTTTTAGATTATAATTATTAATAAGATTAGGATCTAAGATAACTATTATTTATATAGAACTAAAAGAGGACCTTTTATAAAGTATTAATTAACCTATATAAATAAAATTAAATATAAACTAAGCTTCCCTAATAAATTAAGAGCTATAAAATAGCTCTATATTAATATAAGAGGTTATATACCTATAGAGCTAGAATCTATTAATATTATTAGTAATTAGATAATTAATTACTTAATCTTAGCCCTAATAATAAATCTTAGCGATAAGGCATTTCTTCTATAAGGACCTAGGCTATTATTAGCTATTATTATAGCTCTAGTCCTTATAGATATACCTAATAATCTAATTAGATAATATAAGCGCTAAGACTTTAAAATTAAGGATAATATATTAATTTTTAAAGGTAAGGAATTTATCTTATTAGATTTTTTATTAAATTCTAAAATACCTAACCTAGGGTCAAAGGTAGCGATAAAGAAGCTAATAAACTTAGTATTAAACTATAAGAAGTAATTAATTAAACTCTTATAATTCCCCCTATTAATAATATTAATGGCGATAGGTAAGCCTATTACCCCGGTACCTCCTAAGAAGATAAAAGACCCCTAGACTCTAAGTAGACCTCTAAAGTCCCTCTCGCTAGGTACCTTAAAGCGCCTATGCCCCTCCTCGAAGAGTAGCTCTAAGTATATATAATTAAGCTTATTATTAAGCTCTAGAGGAAAGGAATCTAAGCTAAGGGCTTAGGGAGGCAATAAATTAATTAATTAAATAATAATAGGTTATAATTAAGGCGAGTATAAAGATAGGCGGCCTTATATTACTAATATTATACCTAATATTCGGGGCGCTAAATAGTTTATTTACTTAACTTTAGAGAGTAATAATAAATATATTCCGGTAAAGAGAATAATAGGCCTAGCTACGAAGATTATATTAATATTTCTAGGGTTAAAAGGCTAGCTTAGGGAGATAAGAAGCTAGCCTATATAGCGACTACTAACTAGGAATTATATAACTTATATACTAGCGGGTCTTATAAGATTATCCTAGTAAGATAATATTATATAAGTAGCCGCGTAGCTATAGGCCCCTGCTATAGCTTTAAAGGAGAGTAAAGACGAGAGAATAAAGAAGCAGTAAAAAAGCCGAGGCAAATAATTAAATAGTTTATAAGTACTCTAATAGGTAGGAAATCGAGTTAGAGAGGTTATAGGCTAAAATAAGCGAAAAAAGTATCTAGGATTAATAAGGCTTTTTAGGAACCATAAGGATAAGTATTAAAGCCTCATAAGGAGCTATGAGTTAGGGGAGAGGCATACTAGGCTATTTTGGGCTATTAGGTAATTTCCTATATATAGAAAAGGGCTAAGGCCGCGGCCCTAATTATTATTATTATTATCTTCTTAAAGGATCAGATTAAGAATAGGGAGCTTAAGGGCTCTTTTCTTAAGAAGATTTTTATTATTATTAATTAATTATTTGCCTTTATTATTTTATATAGTATTTAATTCACGAGAAAGTATATAAAATCTCTTTTTTGAAAGTTATTAGAAGAAAGTTATATAAGAAGTTTTGGCTATAGTTGGTATGTTTTGTTTCTCTAATAAAATACTAGCTTCTTCCTCTTAATATTAACTAGGCTATATTTTATACTAGGTTAATATTAAATCTACCTTATAAAGAGGCCTAGCTAAGTAGCTATCTAGACTTTAAGGCCTATATTAATAGGCTTATTAAGGATATATATAACTTACTTATTCCTTCTAGTATATTAGATTATGCCCTTATCTATAATAAGATATAAGCCCGGATTATAAAGCTCTATTATCGCGAGTTAAATATATTAAGATTACCGCTTAATATATTAAAAGATAATAAGAAAATTATTATTATTAGTAAATTTAATATAATTAAAGAGCTAGAGATAACGATAAAGGAGTTAAAATTAGTTATAAGTTATAAACTTAATTATTAAGTATTTAGGCCGCTAATCCTCTAGCTAAGAGGTCTTTTAATAGTCTTTAATTAATATTTCGCTATAGACTCCTATATAAATAAGGATCCTAAGCTAGATATATATCTCTATAGCTATAATTAGCTTCTAGGCACAGAGGCATAATTTTTCTATTATTTTATATTCTTAGCTATTAATAATGCCGCTCTAGAGTAGGCTATTAACCTAGTTATTAATATATTTAACCTAGCTATTAACTAAGGAAATAGGTATAAAATATTAAAAAAGGGATAGCGGGTTCTAGGGTAGCTACTTAATAATAAGCTCTCATCGCGGCACTTAGAAGGGCTAAAAATCGAAGCCTCGGTCTTTAATAGGTAGAAAAGCCGGTCTCTGGGTGCTATTACCCTTATGCTCTTAAAGGCTATTATCTTTATTGATAAAGCTGTTATTATTATCTGCGTTGAGAGCCTCCGCCGAGATCTCTATAGGTACCGATTGGGAAGTTATTGATTAATCCGAAAGAATTTCTATAAGGATATAGGTGGAATCAATCAATGACGTATTATAAGGTTCCCCTTATGTACCTCTCAGAAATTGGGGCGGATGTGGGGCTAGGTACGGCTGGGAGGTTTTCCACAGCTCAAGGGATAGTACCATGTCGCATATCAGCCTATCGCACACACGGCATAGCCCACTGGATTATTTCCGGAATTCCACTCGGAATTTCCATTCCACACGGATTTCCATCTTCTATATAAGACAGCAACGTCTTTCTCTTTTATATAGTACAATTGCTCCTTAGATAATTCTCATCAATTGACTGGTGCCATCAATGATCCCTGTGGAGCCAATTGTCTGACACCCAGCAACGTGCACGGGCCAAAATGGTAAAAATTAGATGAATTACAGGAATCCACGACACGTGCACAGACGTTCTAGTAGCGTGCACAGACCAGTTTCTATGTAATTGAACGAGTTACTTAACGACTGCGTACAGTAGTAGGGCGACAACCAGGGTATCATCTAGTGCTTATATTCTGGTGGGCTACTTACCGAGCTCCGGGAAGGTTCTAGCCCTGAGTCTGCCGTCCATTAGATTGAAACAGTCAAATGTCTCAGGGCGTCTGCTTGCACTGCCCATTTACTGGAAGCGCGCCTGACCGACATTGGGGGATTCATTTTGTCGTATACATGCTAAGCCGTGCTAGGTTTGCTGTTCGCTGCCTAGTAGCCATTGACACGTTGGTCAGCTGAGTCTTCAAAGGCCATGGCCAAATCGATGGCATACCTCAGCACGAGCCTCGTACAAGAGGCGATCCAATGAACTGCATTGGTGTCAGGTACGTCCAAAGAGAGCTCCCGGAGATATTGGCGAAACGCTTGGAGTAATTCAGAGTGCCTTCGAACTCGTAGATTAGTCAGATTGGCACGACAAGCTGTGGAGATAATTACCTTCGCGGTTCACAGCTCCAAGTGTAACTCGGCGCAAATGCTGGCCATCTTTTTCGAGTGGTTGGTGGAAAGAGTTGACAACGTTGACCAGTCCTGGTTAGGCTTGACATGCATACGACAATGACCTCAAGGTCGGTTGCCCGCTTCCTGTCGCAGGGGTACCGGTAGTGCAGTCAGACGTCCTAGGCCGTTTGGCTGTTTCATCTAATTGATAGTACTCTCGGAGCTAAAACACGCTGGAGCTCTCGGTGAAGGAATATCCCACCTTGAGATTCGTAATGGATTTGGTTTCGTACAATAAATTCTCAATTCCCATTCTCTGTAATTGAGAACGGAGGAAAGGCTTCCCAGCTGCGATTCCTCATGGATGAAGCACGGACGGGGCACCACGCGACAAGTGGAGTAACGAGGCGAGTCGTATTCCCACTTTTGATTCCAGAAGGTATTTCAAGGGTTGACAACTATTTTCCATTCTAGGTAATAAAAATGAAGTAGAGTAAGCCAATCGGGGGGAATTACACGTGAGACCTTCCTCACATTTCCAGGTAGAGTCGATGGAATCGCCACGACAAGGAGACATGACAGAACAAATTTCTCGTGCAGAACCATTCTGTCCAGATCGGGCATGCGGCATGACGATTATGACCGAACCAGCTGCCGCTCCCATGTCAGCATCCTAAGCATCACGCCGTCTCGCACTACGCGCCGCGCAGACTCTCCACAGGTCGAAATGATCGACATGGCCACAGCTGATGCGAACCGGGCCATTTGTCTCGGAAGGAGACACCTTCTGATCCTAGTCCGTTGCTCAGGCCGCATGACCAATCCTGCCAAATTGGGTTACGCGAGGAATATAGAAATGTCGCCATCATATGTAGGAGGTATTCCAGTCCACGGTTATTTCTTATGTACAAGCTACCTCGGATACGGTGGCAACACATGGCAGTCTCCATCCATGCCGCCCAACTGAGGTTTTAAACCGTGCACCTGCCCGCAACATGTGCTCACTTGGGAAAAGATGAGCTCGTTCAAGGACATTAATCGAGTGTCTGCCATCACTGCAACCATGCTCAACTTCCTACGCCAGGTGCGGCCACCACCGCCCACCTTCACTGAGAAGGAGATCCCCGATCTCGCTGGGCGCGTCATTGTAGTTACAGGTGGTAATTCTGGCATCGGCAAGGAAGTCTGTGGTCTCTTGTACTCCAAAAATGCCACCGTCTACATGACCGCCCGTAACGCCGAGAAGGCCGAAGCCGCCGTCACCGCCCTCCGGAAAGCTCACCCGACATCCACCGGCTCCCTGGGCTACGTGATCCTCGACTTCGACGACCTCACATCCATACAGGCCTCCGCCAATGCGCTCAAAGGCAAGACTTCGAGCATCGACGTCCTGATCAACAACGCAGGCATAATGGTCCCGCCAGCGGGGAGTGTTTCAACGCAGGGCTACGAACTGCAACTCAGCACAAATTGCCTTGGACCTTTTCTCTTCACCAAACTGCTTACACCAGTACTCGTCCAGACGGCCAAGTCCGCCCCACCGGGCAGGACGCGGGTCGTGTGGGTTAGCAGCTCGGCGGCAGACCTTCTCTCACCGACGGGTGGCATCGAGATGGACAACATTGACTACAAAAAAGACCAATCGCAGGCTCTAAAATATGGCGTCAGCAAGGCGGGAAACTACTTCCAGAGCACAGAGTTTGCGCGCCGATATCGTGAAGCGGGAATTGTTAGCGTGGTACGTCTTGGCATCAGGGTCAGCCAGGTCGAGGATGCGAGAGCCAGCTAAATGACGCGCAACAGTCTCTCAATCCCGGAAATCTCGAATCAGACTTGGACCGGCACACCACGGGCATGCAGCTCCTGCTGCGCAAGGCCTTGACACACCCAACCATATTTGGGGCATACACCGAGCTGTTCGCGGCGTTGTCGCTGGAGGTGACTTTGGAGAAGTCTGGGTCGTGGAGTAAGGACCCCGCCCTTTCTTCCTTCGACCGCAGCAGCTCACTGACTCTTCCTAGTTATCCCATGGGGGCGATTCGGTTCAATCAGGAAAGACGTGGAGAAGGCCGCAAAATCCCCTGAAGAGGGCGGCACTGGTATCGCCGAGCAGTTCTGGAACTGGTGCGAGGAGCAGGTCAAGCCGTATTGTTGAGGAATAATCTAGAGCCTTCACGAGAACTACGTAGTAAGGCAACGCGACTGTGTAGACCCACAAAAGATAGCTGATATACCTTTGATTCGGCCATTCAATTATGAAAGGAAGCCACTGGTTGCTGACCCAGTCTATCGTGTTGCCACCTCTCCACCCTCTGAGGCCCATCGATTGCCGACCTAATATTTCCCCTTTAGGAAAAAGGTTCTTGGGCTGACAGCACGCCGGGTCGCCAACCCAGGGAAGGATCATGTTCCGGACATCCCGAGCGTCTGCCATGTAACATGGCGGCTGTCTCCGAAAGTGCTGCGCTGATTAATCCACGATACGGCTCGCCTTCTCGGCAACAGCAATGGGGCAAGTCAGTTAGCATTTCATTTGTCAGCTGGCCGGAGATGTCTTCGTCCTGCGTAATTAATTGTCGTATTGGCATAATAGTGGCTGACACTTGCACCTGCCACATGCCATTCACCATCCTTCTTGAGGAATTTCCGCGCAGAGGGAGGGGCCGCCTCCACAATCGATTTCGCTCGAATCACAGGGATACCAAAAATGTGGTACACATCCCGAATTCACGCATTCGATGATTCGGGCAAGTATATGTACGTCACCGTCCATGACGGGAACATCAGCATCATCCAACATTCATGCACACAACAAAGGTCGGAGCCACGAAACCACTCTGATAGAATCAACACAACACCATGGCAGGACTCGATATTCCCTTCGGCATGTCTACCCCAACTACGGTGTATCATCGGCGAGCCTACCCAGCAATCGACCCAAAACGGCCGGAACTTTCCACCAAGGGCAAGAATGTCGTCGTAACCGGTAGCGGATCCGGCATAGGCGCGGAAATCGCCAAGGCGTTCGCCCGATCTGGGGCGGCCAATGTGGCCCTTGTCGGCCGCACCGCGGCGACCCTGCAATCAACGAAGATCGCCATAGAGAAAGAAAGCCCCGAGACAAGTGTGCACATAATCACCGCTGATCTCACCGATGCAGGGCATATCTCTGAGGCCCTGGCGACGTTCACCCAAGCCGTTCCAAGAGGAACGATTGATGTCCTTGTCGCCAACGCTGGCTATCTCCACGCTCTTGTCCAGTTGGCAGACCTGGAACACGACGACTTTTGGCGAACCTTCGAGATTAATGTCAAGGGCAACTTCAACTTGTTGCGGGCTTTCAGGACATATGCGGCAGTGAATGCCACTGTGATAAGCGTCAACTCGGCTGTCGCGCATGTAGGGTTCCTGCCAGGGCATTCGGGTTATGCAGCGGCCAAGGCAGCCTCGGCCAAAATGTTCGACTATTTCCGCGCCGAGAATCCTGGTATCCGGGTCGTGCAGTTCCATCCGGGTGTTGTTATGACAGAGATGGCGAGTAAGTCAGTGGATGCCGGCACGGACTTGCCGTTTGACGATGGTGAGTCTCTTCATGAAGTCAATGTTGTACGCTGTTCCTGATTGATACAAGTGAGTCTACCCGCGGCCTTCGCAGTCTGGTCTGCTAGCCCCGAGGCTGGCTTCTTGAATGGGAAGTATGTGTGGCCACACTGGGACGTAGATGAGTTGAAGGTTATGTCGTCTGAGATCGAAGAATCGGACAGGTTTACTATCGGACTTGGCCTTTCAGCAAGGCAGTAAGTCGGCAGCAGAAGACCGATCCTACTGTAAGCGATGAGGCTTACTGGTCAGGCAGTCAGCGCAAAGGAGGTTACAGAATGGGGTGTCTGTAACCACGTGGTGGAAGATCATGGACGGAGTGTCGTGGAAGCGCCCATCGAGTATGCCAAGATGATCGCAGACAACAGCCCGGATGCTGTGGTGGTATCCAGGAAAGGGCTCAAGCTTGGCTGGGAAGGCCTGGGTGTTGGAGACGTTAGTTCTTTGTATCTTGATGGATGGTCCAGGCGAATATATGAATGGCGACGGTATGGCTAACAATCAAGCTCGAACTTGACAATTCTCAATCAAGTTTGACTTCTCGTCAAGTCAAGTTCTCAAGTCAAGTTTAATGGTTGTCGTCAATCAATCAAGTTAAAGGAGTGTCAAGTCGTCAAGTGTTGAAATGAGAAGATGCTCATTGCTTGATTCAACCTACATGTGTAGTAGGGGAACTACTATTTATGTACAGGCACGATCTCTGTGGAATGTTCCACGTTCTTCCACACCTTGCCACCGGCTTGGTCGCCTTACATTTGTGATCTCCAACAATTCGATAGATATCGAATCTACAGACGACGCGTTCGATTCGATTCGATTCTACAAGGGTCGCATTCGATTCGAACGCCAAGGCTTGGCGTTCGATTCGATAGATTCGATAGATGTCTGACCCTGGTTGTATAGAGGAACCTTATTGCTGTGGTTAGTTTCATTCATTCTGAGTAAACTAACAAGATTGAAACATCAAGTATCAAGAGTATTGGTCCTTCACGGTCCGTTTATATCCACTAATTCCTCCCTAGCATCCTCATCCTAAAACGGTACTTAGTTAATGCTCAGTGAGGTTGCCGTCATCACCTGCTCTCCTGGCGGGTGTCGTCAGGTCATCACACACGTTCAGTTTTCACACAATCTTGGTGTCAATATCGTGCATGTCATCACTAAACCAGCATTTGGAATCGTGGCAGTCGACTCGCGGGCACCGGTGACCGTTGTAATAATACGGGTTACTATAGTCTAGCGCTGCTGTAAGATCAAATTAATAATCAGATATATTAATCAGATTAATCAATTTAGATTAGATATAAATTTTCATCAGATCAATGAATTTAGATATTAGTCTCGATATATCTAATATATCTAATATCCCTTAATTAGGTAGCTTTATATTTCCATAGTTAGATAGATTTTACCCTAGAGCTGCCGGATTATCTATATATTCTGACCCGAGAAAGTAAAGCTTATCTTACTATGCACTGCGTTATAGGCAGGGGTCGGCAGTAAAGTAATATTTATCCGGGGCCCTTGCCTAGGTCCTGGGAAGAGGCAAATATTTTCCCCCTTTTTCTCATAGTATAGCCTTTGCTAGCTAGGCATGTACTACCTCTAGACCGTTAGAAACTCGCCTTAGCTATCTAATCTAAAGCTATCTATATATTCTACTATAGTCTAAAATGTTAGAGACCCCCTTGAAAGATAGCCTTGCTAGCAGCACGTCGCTATAGCTGCTATTTCCCCTATTTCCTCGTCTCGGATCCCGCCCTAAGAGTATTACTAAGTAGTATAATAAGGCTTTAGCCTTAGCCTTAATTATTAATTCTTTAGTTAATAACCTTTATAAGATTACTTAGGGCTAATAATATTTTATTATAATAAGCCTCTTAGATAATATAATAGTATAGTTAGATCTAAGGGATAAACCGGTTATACTAGGTTTATATTAGCAGGGGATTATTAGTATTATCTTAAATAAGGGTATAAGTTATATCTAATAATATACTTAAGGGTATTAAATATAACTAAGTTATATTAATAGCTAAGGTAATTACTATATAAGAAAATATAATAAGTATATTTTATATACTTTTAGGTATTAGTTATAATTACTCTATCTATTAGTCCTATTTATAGTAATTATATAAGTAATTAAGGTAATTAGTAAGGTAATTACTATAATTACTTAATATTAAGGGTAATCGCTTATTTAATTAGTAAGGAATTATAAGGTCTTACTTATATATATAATAAGTATATATTAGGCTATAATATAATACCTCCCCTTTATTAATCTTATCCTTAAGGCCTTTAAAATTAGTTATCCCGAATTTCCCTTAATTTATTAAATTTTCCCTTATAAATAATTCCTATAATATTAATAGTATATTAAAAATAAAGTCCTATTCCGCCGCATATTATTATTATCTTTTTAAGCTTATTAAAGAAATAGGCTTTAAAGTTATACTTTATTCTTATTATTCCTAAAAGTACTTAAAATATAAGATACTTAAGGGTATTTCTTATTATTCTAAGTATATCTATTATAGCCGCGCTTATAATAGCTTAAGTATATTAATTTCTATTAATAAGTATAGTTTTTTATATTTATTGCCTTCTTTCTATTAATATTTTTATAGCGTTATGCCTAATAGCCGAGAAATATTATCTTAAACTTAAGGAAAAGAAAATAAAAGAGGAGTTAATTACTCTTTAGTAATAGATAAATAAATAATTATCCCGCCTAATATGCCTTTGTCGCTAGAAGAAGTAGATCTATGAGCAGGGTATAGAGATAATATATCAGGGGTTAAATTCTCTAAATAAGTTAGAGGAGTTAGATTATTAAGAGGCTAAGGTTATTATTAATACTTAGTCTTTTAGGGCTATTAATATTATTAATTAGTTAGCTATTTTTAATTTTAATATTAATTCCTTTCCTTCCAGAGTTATTAATAAAAATCCTATAGTAAGTATTATATATTAATAAGGTATTTTAGTAGTTCTTATATATTCTTAGAGTTAAGATAATTCTTCTATTTAATAAGGTATATTATTTTTTTATTAATTTTATCTATATTAAGGATAGCTTTTATAATATATTTTTCTAGTCTATTAATTTCGGTTTCTAGTTTATTATTAGTTCTAACTTAAATAGTA